ATAGTGCGCCGAGGGTGAAGATGGGGGTGAAGATGGGACGGAAGGCAAGAAGTTTTCTACGGGGTTTTTCTATTTTGAAAATGCGTGGGCACGTCCTGTTTTTACTACCCTTGAAATGGTCGACTTTATTGAGAGAGTATTGGGGCGGCCCGACACTAGAGCATTAGAGCATCTCTACCGCGAGTCTATTCTCTAATCTAATGCCAAATTTTTCAGCCGCAGAAAAAAAACGACACTCTACCGCATGTTTCTAATCTATTCGAATAGATTTCTCAATAGATTAGAGCTCGATCTGGGTCTATTCGACCCCCTATTAGACCCAGATCGTGCTCTAATCTATTGAATAGAGGTGACACGAAAGGCCTCCGGGTTGGCTACCGGCGTAGCTGTGCTTGCCAGATGAGTATTCCCGGGAAATTGAACTTCAATGCAAACCCAAACACCTCCAAATGGCATCGTCGCACAACGTTCCCCTCTCTCCGATGCCTCTGCTCTGCTCTGTCTGCTCTGTCCGGTATGGGGCGCGGAAAGAACTGGGATGCAGAGGAGAATTGCGTTCTCGCTCGTGCATGGATTGCGGCGTCCGAAGACCCGATCGCTGGCACCGACCAGGCAAGAAAACTCTTCCAAGACACTATCCGCCGCCGCTTCACGGAGCGTCTGAGTGCGGCATCGAAGTCGCGGTTGAGATTTCCTCTTTTCCCGCTCCTTGATCCTAGTCTAATGAGAGAAGGAATTGTACCTGGAAAACCAGGCAGTGTCCCAGAGGCGACGAGGTAGGACAGGTTCTCGTCGTCACTGGAGTCAGGAGAAAAAGTCGGCGGAGGGGAGTCGTAGTTGCGAGAAGTTGCCATGGTAATAAAAAGGGTTGAACGGGATGAGCGCAGCGGTGCTGAAAGGATATGTACTGCGCGGTAGAGTTGCGCCGCGGCTCTATTCCAGAAAATCTATTCATCAATAGAGCAATAGAGTTACCCAATAAAAATTAAGCACTTGGCGAGATATTTTTGATTAGAGAGGCAAATACGGTCATGCGGTAGAGATGCTCTTAGGGTCTACCGAGGGTCTGTAGAGCAACCGGGGGAAGCCGTAACCCACGTCGGTTTACGGTTTACGGTTTACTACCCTTCGAAGGGTACCGCGCGGCGCTCTCTGTTATCTGACGCAACACTGGTCTTGTAGAGGTGAGGGGGGAGGGATAGCGCTTGTCTGTGGACGGATCCCGCTCGCTGCCTTCTTGTTCTCGTCGCAACGCGGCGCACCGCGGGATACGGCTATGAAAGGAGCTCCTCTCCTGCAGTCTCCATTCAAACGCTTTCACCGCCCCCGTCTCAAAACTTCCATACGCTCATCTCTTCTCTCCTTTGCCCGTCGCCGCCGCCTACCGCTTCGCACTCGACCCCATTCAATAGCTCCATCGCACAACACGACACCCCCGCATACATCAACGCACATGCACAACCCACCAAACCATCCCCCGCTACGCCTTCCAATTCCGGAGATACAAGAAACCGCTTTACATTCTATCCGCCCTACGCACCCACCTCTACCGCACCGCCAACTACTGTTCGTTCACCTTCGTTTCAACTTCACCCTACAGGTACGCCCCTTCCTCCTCGCGCAACCAAACCCCCGCCCGCTCACGCGTCCACGACTTCCGTCAGCCTATCCCGCGCCTCGAACACGGGCGGCTTATAAAGTCTCAGCGCGAGCGACGACCCAACGACGGTGAGCGAGCTGAGCCCCATGGCCGCCGCCGCCACGAACGGCGGGATGCGCCGCTCGATCACGGGGAACAGCGCCCCGCCCGCGAGCGGAATCGCCAGCGAGTTGAACCCCAGCGCCCACAGATAGTTGATCTGTATTCGCCGGAACGCGCACCGCCCCAAGTCCAGTGCCACGGCCACGCCCCACACGCCATCCCGCATCACCACGATCCCCGCCTTCTCCGCCGCTATCTGGCTCCCGCTCCCCATCGCTACGCCCACGCACGCGGCCGCCAGCGCCCCGGCGTCGTTGATCCCGTCCCCGACGAACGCCACCCCGTCCCCGCCACGCCCCGCCTCCGCCTCCGCATCCGCATCCGCGCCCACGTCCGCCCCGCCGCCCCGCCGCCCGTGCTCGTGCTCGTGCACCACCCGCACCTTGTCGCCGGGCAGCGCGCGCGCGTGCACGTCTTCGTCCGCGATCCCCACTTGCCGCGCCACCGCACGTGCTGTGCCCGCACTGTCCCCCGTCACCATCCCGCACCGCACGCCGCGCGCTTGTAGATGTGCGATCACGGCCGCGCTGTCGGGGCGCACTGCGTCTTCGATGCCGAACGACACCACACCGTGCCGCGGCACGCACGCGAGTACCACTGTCTTGCCGCTCTCTTCCCAGCCGTTGAGAATCTGCTGCACGCCGTGTGACAGCGTATGGTCGGTAGAGGACAGCGCCCATGCCGCCTCACCGATGCGCACCTCGCGCACCTCGCCGTCGCCGTCGCCGTCGTCCAAGACACACGTCACGCCCTTGCCGGCCACGGCTTGGTGCGAGGAGAGCGTGGGCGAGTCCTTGAGCGAATCCTTGAGGCGTATGCTCTGTGCAGTGTGAGCCGCGGTGTATGAGGCAATTGCCTGGGCAAGGGGATGGTCGGAGAACGACTCAGCTGCCCCGATGATGTGGAGGAGGGTTTCATCGGGGGCCGTGTCGTCCAAGCTGGAGAGCATGGTTTCGTCATCGGCGGAGAGTGCAAGCGAGGAGGCGCGCGTCACAACAGGCTTTCCGACTGTCAATGTCCCCGTTTTGTCGAAGAGAACAGTTTGCACCCTGTGCACCGCCTCCAACGCCTCGCCGCCGTCCTTGTACAGGATGCCCAGCTTTTGTGCCCCTATGCTCGTCGCCATCATCACCACGGTCGGTGTCGCCAGGCCAAATGCGCACGGACATGAGATTACGAGCACAGAAAGACCAAACAACAGCGCGAAGAGCACGTTGCCTTCACCGTCTGCCCAGTCGCCTGGGATTACTGCGCTTTGGATGAGCGCAAACCAGATTGCAGTTACCACCAACGCGACGATAAGCACGACCGGCACGAATATAGCTGAGACCTTGTCGGCCACAGCTTCGATTGGGGCGCGCGAATCTTGCGCCCGTTTCACCAGCTCGATGATCTTCTCCAGCATCGAGTCCGAGTCGCTGGCTGTGCAACGCACCACGACCGCACCACTACCGTTCACAGTTCCAGCGTACACGGCATCCCCGGGGCCCTTGCGCACTGGCCACGACTCTCCGGTGAGCATGGATTCATCCACCGTCGTTTCCCCTGCTTGCACCGCACCGTCCAGGGGGAACGATGACCCGGGATTGACCTGGAAGTGGTCACCCACCGACACCAGCTCCGCATTGACTGGTTCAGAGTAAATCGGTTGCGATGAAGGCGGCTTGGACACCAATGTGACGAGGCAGGGTGCGAGCTTGGTGAGTGACTCTACTCCTGCCGTGGTCTTCTTCTTGGCCACCGTCTCCATCCATTTCCCGAACAGCACAATCGTGATCAGCAACGACGATGTCTCAAATGCCATCGCATCCTCCGTGACTTCTAGACCCCTCCTGATCTGTATGGTGTTGAGAACGAGGAGGGTCACGCTGAAGAAGTAGGCTATGGAAGTCCCCAATGCGATCAACAAGTCCATGTTCGCCCTGCGCTGCTTCAGTGAGTACCATGAACCTCTGTAAAAACGAAAGCCAAAGAGGAACTGGACTGGCGTGGCAAGCACAAACGCGATGATATCCACGACGCGGAAGCCGGACCCTCCAACCAAGTGTTGCAGACCTCTGGCACCGAGCACGTCGACCCGCGCGAACAGCATCGTGCAAAGCGCCACCGGAAGGGTACAAACAAATGCTCCGATGAAAAGAAAACGGAGATGGTGGGCCTCTTTTTGCAACATGGCGGTCGCCTCCAAGTTTCCGGTCAGGATCGGGTCGTTCCGAGAGATGACTTGGTACGCCAAACCGTCACCCTCTTCCCTCCCCTGGTCGAGAAGCTTGACAGCATCCAATTTTCTGTAGGAAAAAAACTTAATGATCGGAAGCTGCTTCTTCTTCCTCTGTGACCATCGAAGAAACAACTTTTGATGAACCTCTTCATCCTCCGCATACTTAGCTTTTTTGCGGCTGAACAAGTATGCCTTCGCTACCAGAGAGGAATCATTGAGGATTTCGACCGCCTTCCGTGCCTTGTCTAGAGTCGAGAATCTCAGGAACACTTCATCCGTCTGCACAGCACCCTGTGTGACATCGGTAAGTTTATATCCCAACGACATCAACTTCTCCATCGTCTTTTCAGGGTCGAAACGGCCACGGTCAACTTCCAGCACTGCACGCGCCGTCAGCAGCGACACGGACGCCGACTTGACGCCAGGCAAAGTGCGCAGAACGTCCTGCACTTTGGAGACGCATGCAGCGCACGTCATGCCGCCGATCGAAAATAGGACGTCGTCCTGCGTTGCGGCCTTCTTCCCGCACACGCATGCGCCCCCTCTTTCGTTTGTGCAGCAGCACGACATCGAGTAGGTTGAGTAAGATGAATCCGTCGAGGAGAAGCGCACCAGCACGCCAGCATCCCCGGGCTCGACGGGCTCGGCGCTGCATTTGCAAGAGTTGTTTCCACAACCACAGCGGAAACGGCGGGCGCGAGGGGCGTCCGGGGTGATAACATCCTCAACCGCGGCATCGCCCGGGGCAGACACAATGGAGAACTGCTTGGGAAGCGCGGAACGCACTGCAGCGACAACATCGTCAGCGCCAGCGGTGTCATTCAGTTGAAGCGAGAGGGTGGAGACGCGGCCGGGCTGATCGTGCAAGGAAACCGTGACATAGGAGATGTGCGAAAGCGGGGTGAGGGCGCCGACAATAGCCGGGATGCAGCCGGCGCAAGAGAGGCCGGCAACGTAAAGTTGGAGGGGAGACACCGGTGCGGGCGTTGTTGCAACGGCTACGGGCTGGCCGAGAATTTGGCCCTCTGTAATGAGGGAAAACTTCTCTGGGAGGGCGGCGCTAACCATTGCGAGCAAGTTTTCCTTGTCGCCTACGTCTGTGTTGAGATGGAGCGCCAAGGTGGAGACGCGTTGAGGTTCGTCGTGCAGGGCAACTGTGACGCGGGAGATGGGCGGCAAGGCGGTCAACGCTTCGACGATGGCGGGGATGCAGCCGCTGCAGGAGAGCCCAGCAACGCGGACGGTGAAGGTAGACATGATTCAGTAGGTGGAAGCGGTTGTAGGAAGTGTGGAGGGCGGAGATTTGTCTTATAAAAGGGAGTAAGAGCGGCGAGGCGTGAGTTTGTGGTGTAGAGGCTATGGGGGCCTGCACTCTGTAGCAGCGGTCCGAATGGTGAAGCGCTTGGGTAAGGGACGGGTGGGAGTTCCAGTTCGCATTGTGTTTCTTCTTTAGTGGCACTAATCAGTATGAATATGGGACCACATGCGACCGTCAGGACCAGTGGCGCTGTGAAATCGGCAACTTTGTTCATGCGCTGTATTCCGACTTCGCAAACAACCCACTCCGCGAACTAATTTCACTTACCATCGAAAAGACAGAAACTGGCACAACCTCAACTACTGCAATTCAGCTGGTCAACTTTTTTAGATTGAATTCGGTGAATGCGTTTTGCACGTCAAAGTGCCATGGGTTTATACAGAAAGCGAGGATTTTATCAGCAGGCTCGCTAAAGATCGTTGACCGCGCTTGCATGAGTGTTTGCGCTGAAGATGTCGTTCCACGTCTGTTCTAAACTGCGCTCAGCCCAACCGAACAGTGCTTACGCTGAAATCTCATTCCACAACTGCTTTGCATGCGAACCATGCACATGCGCAACAGATCCGGAGCATGGCGCGGCACTATGCACACGGGAAAATCCTGCGAAGCACGGGCCCACCGGGGCAGTTGGGGCAAGGAGTGCATGCTTTTATTGACCCAATCACTGGCGTGGACGTACCTCATCTTCCATTTGCGCATGGACTTAGTTCGGGGCTGTTGTTAGATCAAACATGAATTCATTAATGAGGGGTGGAATATACTTCCATGGCCCCCGAATTTGGTCCCCTCCCCAACTTGGTCCCATGGGACCACGTTCGGGAGGGGACCGAGCTAGAAGCCTTCCTTCAAAGGCTTCTAGCTCGCATGTGCGCCTTCTACTGTGTAGGTGACGCAAACCACATCTATATTAAAGGTGAGGGCTAGTGTCTACTAGAGCTTTCGAACGCATTGATCCAATGCCAGCTGCTCCCGCAGAAACATGCATTCTGAGCACCGTGTAGCGCAGAAGTCCGATTTCAAGAGCACTACGATTAACGGACTTAAAAGTTGCCTAATTCGCCTACCGCGAATATCCGACGGACGCCGAAAGGTCGCAATCGGGCGGCCCAGCGATGAACACAATACCGCGACTGTTGGGTAGAAAAGTTCTGAAAAGGGCGAGAAGGGTTGATATAAAGGCAGCGCTCTAGTTGAGAATGATGCTCTGTTGGCGAATGTCTAATTTGCTCGGTTGGAAAATTGATGGGAGTCCCAAATAATTTACCAGGTGGGTAAGACGTCAAGAAAGAATTATTACTGTCCTGAACGCTTACGAAATAATTACGCAACGCTTCCCCATCTGCTTCACAAGTTCTCTACAAAACATGGATGTGGTAGTAGTATAAATGCGCGAGTAGCCACGATAAATAAAAGGGTAAGGAAGAATAGCCATCATCAACACCGTCAAGTCTTGTCGTCTACCTTTGCCCTGCCAGTTCTACTGGTTATGGGCCCAGTCTACCAGAAGCCTGTTTGCTTCGTTCTGTTCTTCTGACAAGGAACAGGGTTCTGAATCAGAGATCTATCTACTGTACTACATACCGTCATGGAGGAAAGTCGCAAAATCTTCAAGTTCAACGGTCTCCCAGGAGAAGATTTCCATTTATGGATGGCCCGGACCGAGGCCGCTCTGGAGGACAGGAATGCGTGGTCCGTAGTTCAGACAGATGTTGTTGGTGGTGCTACGGAACCGGCACCACTTACCGAGGAGCAGTCTAAAGCTGTGTCTAAAGCAAGAGCTTTGATTATGCAAGGACTTGGTGATAATCCGTTGAGGCTTTGCCTCCAGCAGAGGGCTAATCCGTATAAAATGTGGCAGGTTCTTTCGGAGCGGTATGCCAAAGTCAATGTCGCAAGTAAGGTTCAGCTACAGTACCAATTGTCACGATTGGTATATCGGAACCAGTCTATGTCGGAGTATCTTGACCAGTTTCAGACAGTATATAACAGGCTGGCGGCTATGGGAAGTGTAGTGGAAGAAGATATGCAAATTGCGACTCTACTCGCTTCTTTCGGTGACAAGGAAAGGTCTCCGTTCGGACACGTGGTTGCTGCTTTGCAGGCCAGTGATTCTGAGATCAGTTGGCAGTCTGCTACAGCCAGTCTTCTTCAAGCATATGCGGAGAAATCCTTAACAGGTCGGGCTCCAGCTGGAAGGTTTGAAGAGAAATCGCTTGCTTTAAGCGTTCTAAATAGGCACGTACCCTTTAAACCGGGTTCTAGGTTTGGTTCGAGGGGTTCCAACCAGGAAAGGCGACGTTGCTATCACTGTAATCGGGTGGGTCACCTCAAGCGAAATTGTCCTGAGCTGTGCCATGACCATGGAGGTACAGCCTCAGGCTCTGCGGGAAGTGTTAATCATGCTACTGTACTGATGGCTGTGACAGATGAAGTGTCTTCTCACAGGCTGTTGTTGGACTCCGGGGCCTCTGATACTATGGTCAATAATGCTCAATGGTTGCAAGACGTGACGAGTATCGAACCAAGGACCATCACGCTTGGGAATGGTCAGACAATCGATGCAGTCAAAAAGGGTACCTTATGTTTTGATGCCGTGGTCAGCGCTGGAGGTGGGGACCCTATCGTACGTCATGTGACTGTGCCGGAAACACTGCTTGTTCCAAAATTGAAAGAGAATCTGGTGTCCTGCTCTGCTCTTTCTAACCAAGGATACCATATTCATATTGCTCAGAAGGGAGCGACGGGAATGCTTAACGGGTTGCTAATGTTTCAAGCTTTTGAAGTTGCTGGAGTGTACTCTATCAAACTGTCTCAATCTGGAGCATCTGTTAGTCAAGATCTTACTGATTCTGAAAAATTGTGGCATCAACGTATGGGGCATGGGAACATTCGTGATATTCGAGATCTCGCTCGCAGAGGAGCTGTTTCAAGAATGGATTTGTCTCGCACCGCGGGTTTAAATGAGAACTGTACCAGCTGCATTCAGGGGAAGCATCACAAGTAATCCCTTTATCCAAACAAACACAGGTCACAGATTCAAGGAGAAGTTATCCACAGTGATCTGTGCGGCCCTATGTCAGTGAAATCAGTTGGAGGTGCGTTGTACTACGTTTCGTTTATCGATGAGTGTTCCCGGTACACTGTCATTGTTCCTATTGCACGCAAGGGAGATACTGCTGAGAATTTCAATCTGTTTCACCCTTGGTTTGAGCGCAAGTTTTCGTGTGTAATTAAGCGTTTGCACTGCGACGGCGGCGGTGAATATGTCGCCCTGGACCCGTATTAGCGATCTTTTGGAATCGAGAGAAACGAGATCCCTGCGTACAGTCCTGAGCACAACGGCATTGCCGAACGAACGAATAGGACTGTAATTGAGTCCGCCAGGTCCATGCTGATTCACGCTAGAGTGCCCACTGAGTTTTGGCCCGAAGCAGTCGTTCATGCAGCCGACATTCGAAACCGGTTTCATTGCCCACGCGACCGGAAGAAAACCTCTTATGAAGTAATGGTTGGACGTGTCCCTCGGGTTGATCATGTCAAGGTTTTCCGTTGTACGGCATGGTTGCATATCCCGAGAAATAAGCGCAAGAAATTGGAACGGAAGAGCGAGAAGGGTGTTGTTATTGGGTGTTATGAGAATAGTTTGTACAAATTATGGATTGGAAGCCGTAAGAAAGCTGTGTTTGCTCGTCATGTCAAGATATTCGAGAAGCAATTTCAAAATCGTGATTGGTATGGTATCAGTAGCCAGAATACAGAAGATCTCTACGAAGATGATGATGAAAGTGAAGAGTCTACAGTGCAACCTCAGTTCCGTGCTGAAATAAGATCGGTAGAGCGTCCATCCCGCCGCGTCCAAATCGCGGATCAAGAAACAGTACAGCAAGCAAACCCACCTGTAAGTCATGATATTCTCACCCATATACCACTAACGCCTTCTTCCCATAGAGCAGAGGATACAGTACAACCCGAAGTAGAAAGGCATGCACCAGAAGGTGTAGAACCGGATGAATCAGAGAACGATACTGCTGAAGAAGGGGAAGGGAATCGATATCCTCAACGGAGTCGGAAACAAACTACCTTCTTCTCTCCAGGTGCGCTAATGGCATTTAGTGCGATTGAGGATCAACCTTTTGCCACTGTTTCGCAGGTTCTTGAGCAAGTTGATGGAAGGAATTGGAAAAATGCCATTGGATCGGAGTTGCTGTCGACAGCAACTCCAGCGATCGCTCAAGAACCATAAGATATGGATTGTAGCCCCGCTTCCAGAAGGGGTAAAGCCGATGAAAACCAGATTTGTTTTTGACAAGAAGATTCACAGCGATGGATCGGTTGCTCGATATAAGGCCCGGCTTGTGGTACAAGGATTTCTTCAAGGGTTCGTGGATATGACCTATGCACCGGTTGTGGATTTTTCAATTGTGCGAGCTGCACTCTCCATCGCTGTTCAACGTGGGTAGATCATACATCAACTAGACGTCCGGACAGCATTTCTACACGGAGAAATAGATTCAGATTTATTTGTTGTTCCGCCAGAAGGGGTTGGTATCCAATTACCGCCTGGGACTGCTCTGAAACTATTAAAAGGTCTGTATGGACTCAAGCAAGCCCCACGACTCTGGTTCGACAAGTGGCGGAGTGTGATTATGCCCCTGGGTTTTCAAGAGATGTCTTCTGATGCTTGCCTTTTTCGGCGTGGGACCCTTTGGATTCTTCTTTACGTTGACGATATTATCATCATGAGCAGCAGTATGGATGACATCAAGAACGTCAAGCGAGACCTGGCAGCTAAATCGGACATAAAGGACATGGGGGAGTTAAAATATTTTCTTGGCACTGAGTTCAAGTTTCAGTCGCACGGTGCGATTTTATCTCAATGTCAATATGTGAAAAAGCTCCTAGAGAAATACCAGATGGCGAACTGCAAGGCGGTATCAACACCGGCTTCGATGGGAAGCGCTGTCATCGGTCCCGACGAAGACGTTGATCAACGATATTTTCAGGAACTGGTAGGAAGTCTCTTGTTTCTCTCTACACGTACGAGGCCTGACATAGCATTGGCTGTCATTCATCTATGCCGTCGGGTGTCGAGTCCTAACAAGAATGATCTAGTGGCTGCTAAAAGAGTGCTACGGTACCTCAAGGGAACAGTGGATTTTTCTCTCGTACTTGGAATATCGAAAGAGACGCTTGTAGCTTACTCGGATGCCGACT